AGGTTCCTGTTGCTGCTACCACCCATAGCAACCAGGACCTCAGCTCCATGGGGGGGACAGGTGGCTGGGACCCTGGAGCGCCCGTCTCCTTGGCCTGGTCACAGGGCCTCGGCTCCCAGGTGCCTGCTCACTGCCTGTGGCCCGGGGCTGACTGGTGGGGGCATGGGGACGAGATGGGCAGGGCTCGGGAGGGTGAGGAGTGCCGACTCTGAGAGGAACAAGAAGGGAAAAGGGGGGAGAGGGTCAGTTCCTCCCCTGCCATGCACTAAAGCTGCGCTGCCCACCTCAAGTTTCAATTGGGGCCTGAAATGAGATCTGGGGGAGAAGGGTAAAAAAAATAAGTACTCCTCAGAAGAAATCTAGCACCCGAGGCCAGTCAGATAGATGGACAGATGGATGCCCTCAAAATCCCACCCAATCCTTTCACGAATATAAGAAGTGTAACAGAAGCGCCAGGCATGGTGTCTCACTCCTGTCATCCAGAACTTTGGGAGGCTGAGGCGGGTGGATCACCTGAGGTCAGGAGTTCGAGGCCAGCCTGGCCAACGTGGTGCAACCTCATCTCTACTAAAAATACAAACATTAGCCAGGTGCTTGCAGTCCCAGCGACTCGGGAGGCTGAGGCACAAGAACTGCTTGAGCCCAGGAGGTGGAGGTTGCAGTAAGCCAAGATTGCGCCACTGCACTCCAGTCTGTGCAACAGAACAAGACTCCCTCTCAAAAAAAAAAAAGTGTAACAGAAGCAGCAGGATGAAGACTATCAAGCCCTGAGTCACTCAAAATCAGAAACAACAAATGAATAAATATTCAACTGATCAAGGTAAAAAAGATGCATTATAAAGCAGTACGTACACATAATCCCATTTTATTTTTTAAAAACTATTTTTACATGTATATTTATACAAACCAAAACAAAATCTGGAAGGACACACGCTATAAAACCTTAACAGTGGTTCTCTCAAGATGGTGAGAATTACAAGTAATTGTTATTTTCTTCTTTGTGTCACTGTATTCTCCAAATCACCTAGGTACATTTTACATAGGAATAAGATGCTGGTTTTTCAAGGTTTTTAAATGAATGGCATCTATACAACTCACTAGGGTTTCCTAGTTCAGCGAAGCAGATTCAGCCATAGGGAGTTATTTGCAAAGCCCCACAGCTCCTAGGAAGAAAGAATGGGTGACCCTAGGTGAGATGGTACTTTTATGGACCATGTCCTGAGGGGGTGCAGGGTGGCGATCACAGAGGCTTCACCTCCCTCTACGGCTGAGATGGCTCTATCAGCAAAGTCAGGGGCCCAGGCTCGTTTTTACTGTTTCCTGGGGAACGCTGGGGCCGCCAAGCCCTGCCCTGCCTGGGCCTGGAGGCCCCCAGCTGCCCCCTTGCTTGCTCCACGCCCACCAGCCTTGCGTAATCCGAGCCCAGGCAGCCAGGGCAAACACTGGCTGCTGAGCCAGGAGCGCCAAGGTGAGGCTGAATCAATAGTCCGAGTGTTGTTTTTCCTCCTTCAGCAAACAGACGGCGGGACCTCTCTGCCTAGGGCCACATAACTGTCCCCACATAGAGCCCCTGACTAGCCAGAAGCCAAGCCCCTGAAGGAGGGAAGCTGGGGGAGGTCCCAGCAGTGCTGCTGGGGGTATCCCGTATCAGTGCCAAGTTCCATGAGCAGTGGCAGGGCCCTGGATGCCCTTACCACTTCCATAGCCAAGGCCACTCTTTGCCGGATACCAAAAGGAAGGCACCGCAGCTCACGTAGGCCCTGGGGAGCTACAGAGGCAGGCTCACTATAGAGAACTCTTTGCTTCTCCAGAGGCTGCCCTTAGATACAACCGGCCTCCCTGACTGCTGCAGTCCCACCCTGCAGGCTGGGGGTACTCCACACACAATTCCTGGAGTATTTTCAGTTTGGACCAAAATAACCTGACAGCTGATGGCAGGAGACATCTACAATACAGCCCCTGCACATCCCTGTGGGCAGACACCACAGGGCTCCAGGGCAGGCCTGGGAACCACAGCCCCATGGTGCCTTGGGTGGTTGGTTCCAGAAAGCTGGCCTGATCAATGGCTGGACAGCTAGGCACCCCAGCCCTAGGGGATGGAGGGACCTGCTCCCAAGTCCCTCATTTAAGAGAGAATGTGGGCGGGGGGGGGGACCCTGGGGGCAGAGCCACATAGGAACAGGGCCTCATCTCTCTCCTCTTGCCACCACAGCTGCCTCTTGGATCATCCCCCTGCCCCCACCACCACCAACCACAGTGCTGTGAGTCCTGCTGGAGCCCCCAAATCGAGGCTGGGTTCATCTGGGTCTAGCCCAGATTCCAGCACACTGTAGATGGAGCCGCAGCTGCTTGGCGTTAAAAGTGATTAACCAACTATTTAATTACCTTGCAGCACTGGGAAAGAAAGCAGGCTTCAGGCGCAATTGAACAGTCCCCCCAAAAGAAAGAGGGCCAGCCTCCCTCTATCCAACAACCCCACCCATGGTGAGGGGTGGGGATGGCGTCCAGAAAATGAGACCCCCACAGACGGCTCTGCCACAGCATGCGGGGCAAGGGAGGATCCCCAAAAAGAGTAAGAACTGAAAACAATGAATGAATGGGTTTCTCCCCACCCCCATCCCAGACTCTGACTCACCCTCTAGTCCCAGTTTGTCTCAAACCTGGAGGCTTGCTGTATTTCTCATGATCTTGTTTCACATGGGACTGTGCTCCAGGCTGTGGCCAGAGAGAGCTGTGGGTGCTCTTCCTGGCTATGTTCTTGGGCACAGCCCTTTTCTCCAGCTCCAGAATCTCCCGACACAGAGAGCCACTCTGGGCCACTCAAACTGCGCCTTACCCCAGGACCCACTGCTGTTTCCCAGACACTGGGGGTCTGGCTCTGACACAGCCACAGAGCAGGCCACGGGAGGGCCACTTGGACACCCAATCAGTCTCTTCCTCTAGAAGAGACACCACGCCGGGTCCTGTTACCAGCCCTGGGAGGCTCCGTGAAATTATCGCTCCCAGTTCCTGCCCACTATTTGCTGGATGATCTTAACAAGTCACTTCCTCTCCCTAGGCCTCAGTTTCCTTGGTGGTAAAAACTGCTAGACCAGCGGTTTTCAAACTTTTTTTAAAAAGCCACAGAATCCTTTTTAAAATCAAATGCTCCAATATAGGAAATAGTAAAACGAGGGCTGCTCTGCTTGAGAAGAGGCCAGGCTTGGCTACTTTCCTATGCTGTGTCCACACCTGCTCAGCAGCCGCTCTCATCAGGCCACATCACCTGGGTTCCCCTCGCACTTCCCAAGTCAGAATAAGAATCCCAACACCCTCCAGTGGATGAGGGTCTGCACCCCAGGGGCCATGGGGTAGAGGATGATGGGAAAGCGGGTTCTGACCAGACAAGTGACTGCCGTCAGACCTGTCTGGCAAGCAGGCCGCCCCTCGGTTCAGCCACCCCGCGGGGGCACAGGGGCCTCGGCCAGGCCGCGGCAGAAGGCAGCCCCGGGACCTACCTGCGCCCGCCGCCGGCGCCCGCGAATCCCGCACCTGAGTCCTCGCCGCACAGGTGTGCGGGCGGGGGCGAGGCCCGGGAGAAGGATCCCCCGCCTCGCCCCCGGCCGCTCCTCCCCTCCCCGGGCGGAACGCAGGCCCTACGCGGCCGCGGAGTGGGCGAGCCGGCGGCAGCCCCCGAGGCGGCGGGGAGGCGGGAGCACCCGGAGCCTGCGGAATTTTCTCCCCATCCCGCCCCCAGCAGGGGCCCCGCAGGCGCTTCCTGAGGTCAGAGGGCTCGCCCTGGCCCCACGCGGAAAAGTACCGGCCAGGGCCGGGGGTCCGAGACCGGCCCGGCGCGCTCAGGTGGGCTGCTGAGCGCCCTGTCTGCTCCCGGCAGCTCCACCCTCGGGGCCGGCCCCGGAGCCAGTTCCCGAAAGCGGGCGGGCAGCCGGGCCCCGGGGGACCCGGGTCGGGGCTGCACCGGCGCCAGTGCCCCGACCCTCCCCGGCCCGGGCACCCGGGCCGCGGAGCCTGCTCCTGGGGCAGAGCGGCCCGGCCCGGCCGGCTCCCCTCGGGCCCGGCTCCCAGGCGCGCTTGCCTTCCCCGGGCCCCGGGCCCCGCGCCCTCGCTGCTTACCCTCGGGAGCCCGAGCGGGGAAACTTTTACAGGCGAGCGCCGCGGCGGCTCGGGCGCCCCTCGGCCGAGCGAAGAGCCCGGCGGCGGGGGCCTGGGCTCGGCGCGGTCCCCGCGCCCGGCGGCAGCGTCACGGCGCGGAGGCGGGGAGGCGCGGCGGCGCGGCCTCGGCCCGGCCGGCGACCGGGGCGGGGGCTCGGCCTGGGCTCAGCTCCGGCGCGGGCGGGGGCAGCGGCCGGGCCGCGGCGGCGCGGCTTGTTTGCTCAGGCCGCTGTCAGCGGCGGCGGCGGCGGCGGCGGCGGCCTGGGCTCCTCCTCCTCCGCCGCCGCGCCTCGCAGCGCCGCCTCCGCCTTGCGGCGGCGGCGGCGGCGGCGGCCCGGGCTCCTCCTCCTCCGCCGCCGCGCCCCTCCCCCTCGCGGCGCCACCTCCGCGCTTCCCCGGCCGCCGCCACCGCCGGCTCCGGCTCGGCCGCCCGCAGCCCATGCCGCCCGGCCCCGGGCCCGCTTTCCTAGCGCCGTGCGCCCCAGCGCGTCCGGCCCCGAGCGGCGGCCCTGCGGGGCCTTCTGGGGCGCCCGCTGCCTCCGACTCCCGGTAGGGGCAGGTAGGAAGTGGGGCAGGCGATCCCAAAGTCCTCGCGGCCGCGCGGCACGAGGCCCCGCTGCCGTGCCCCCGCCCCCGGGCTCGGCTCTTCGCCCCGCGAGCTCCCCGGGAAGACGGCTGCGGAGACCCGAACTCGGAACCGAGGGGACAGGCTTGAGGGAGCCACTCTGAGCCCTGCCTCGGCCGGAGTCTTGGGGGGGCCGACCCTCTCCGTCCCCCTCTTCCCCACTCCTGGGCCACGAGTTTGAGCCTAACCGGGTTAAGTGCCCAGGGACGGCGGACCTGGGGTCCTCCAGTCCAAGGTCGAGGGAGGACTGCACGGGACTGCACGGCGGCGGGGCCAGCCTCCTCTGGGCCTACTGTTAGAGGAGTCACGACTTCGTCTGCATTTGTATAGACAGGTGGATATATGAGCAGAAGTAACCCACCTCCTTTTAATATTTTTAGCTTTTTTTTTTTTTTTAAACACCAACCGCTTGCCAGGCACCAGGCCAGTCATTTTATATTATCTCCTCCTTATGTACATGATTTGATCCATATAATCCTGTCAGGCTGACATTATTAATCCCATTTTACAGATAAGGAAACTGAGGCGCACAACGTTTAAATAATTTGTCCAAAGTTCCGCAACCAGCAGACCTCAGATCCTGCAAGAGACTGGGGTGTTTGGCAGAACCTGAATCCAAGCTACTTGCAATATACCAACCGGAGCCTCTCCCTCCCTGGGCCCTAGAAAACGTTTGTGCTACTTGGCTGAGGCCGACGCTGCTTGAGCTGAGAAAGAAAAGAAGGAAAATGTGGCCAAGAGCTTCCCAGGCTGGGTTATTCCAAGGTCGCAGAGCAGCCTGTGCCCATCTCTTCTCGCTTCCTGTGAGATAACCTGGCTGCACAGGATCAGCCTGTGGCCTCCTGAACACAGGTTCCCGGGTAATGGAAAGAAAAAAAAAATCCACTGAGTGTTTTCTGTGAGCCAGGCACCATTGAGAACTCTTTTCCTGTGTCAACCCCTTCTGTCCTCACCACATGCCCCATGAGGTGGGTACAGTACATTTTCCTTTAAGTACCTTTGCTGTATCACTGTCTACTTTTTATATAGGAGGAAACTGAGGCCCAGAGAGGTTAAATCATGGTAATTCTTAAGGCAACTGATGAAAATCAGCAAACCCGTTCAAATCCCTGGGGCACTATTTTTTACTGGGACACCTTAGACAAGTTAATTTATCAGAGACTTCCTCAATTTACTCGTCTATAAAATGGAGATAATATTTAATGAATGCTGATCCCATTCATTCAAAGGTACGATTCGGGCACCTTTAGAAACACTGCAAAAACTGGAAACTGGAGGAACAATGCCGGGTCCTCAAAGTTGAGCTGGAAGGTAAGTCCAGTTGGCCTTGTCCCAAAGTGGGGACTTCCCCTCCACCAAGGAACTAAGACTTGTAGGGGCCACACTGGGTAGTGCCAGCCACAGTTGGGAGAACAATACTCCAGCAGTCAGACTGAGGCAGGAAGTGAGTCACGCTTCTTCCTTAGGCTGTGAGCAAGAGAACTCCATTGAGGGGAAACAGGGACAGGGCTGGCCCCACCTATCTTCCCACTTGTCCTCAGGCCTAGAAGAAAGGTCAGCCCAAAAAAAAGCAATACTTGCTGCTTCAGGTGCCCCACCCATCCTGGAGGCTGGCCCCAGGGGAGCCCGCAGTGGGTCTTTGGAGGGGGAGGGGCTAGCCTAGGCTCAGATGGCTGCCACCCAGGCAGAGGCGGTGGGAAGTGGAGCTTCCCAGTTTCTCCCAGCCAGCTTGCCTCTTCAATCCTGACTTTGGCATAAGGCAAAATTCTTTAAACTGGGTTCTCAGAGGTGCATCCCTCAGAGGGAGGAATGAGGACAGGATTGAGCAGGTGAGCACCTCTCTCTGCTTCAACCAGTGTGTCTCATATTTTAGGGTTTCACATGAGATTGTATTTTACAACAATTCTGCTGCTAAAAAGAATTTGAAAGCCACTTTCCGTGAGACCTCTCTGGAAAAAATCCCATTTGACCACAACTGGTGACTTCTGCCTTTATCTCATTGCAACAAGTCCTGTGGGCAGGTATTGTTCTCTTTATCACTCCCAACTGACCCTGGAGCCCAGGTCTCCTGACTTGGGGCCCTAGGGGCCCAAGGTCCTCTGGATCCCACCTTATCAGTTTTTACACAACAGTTAGCAGGACTTGGGCATGTGACAGAAGTCTGGAGATGAGTGGGAGGAGCAGGGCCTGATGGGTAAGTGGGGGCTGCAAAGGGGCTCCCATTTTCCCAGCAGGGCTCTGGGAGGAAGAGTTCGGCCAGGCCTCTCTTTATCCTTGATTTGGGGCTAATCCAGGGAGGCTCCTGAGAGTAACATAGTCCTAAATCCACCCAGTCATCCTGACTCCAAGTGCTTCTGTTGTCTCCTTGGGGTGCTCTGGGAGTCCTCAGTGAAATCTCTGGCCCACCTCAGGCACAGCAAATAAAGCCTCCGGCAGCAGCACCCACACCTAGTTTTAAGTAGAATGTCTACACAATATTCAGACTTGCATAGAAGGATGCCCAACAAAATTCCATTGGTGGTCTCTCCGAGTGAAAGGGTCACATTTGCGATCTTTGTTTCCTTCTTTTTGCTTACCTGCATTTTTCAGGAATGTCTACAAGAACTCCTAAAATAATTAAACTTTTAAGTCAATGCGAAATCGAATAAAGCGTGTACATACTTCACCATCCAGCTCCAGAACACCTGGGATTCATCCTGGCCGCTGCTGCTTCCCCACCACAGGCTGCAGCTGCAACAGTCAGGCTCCTATCCCTTCACAGGGCGGGGCTCTTCCAGTTCTGGCTAAACCACTTTGGGAAAACCTTCTTTATATGACAGGCAAATAAGGTGTCTGTGGGTGGGGGGAGGAGCTAAAAGTGATGTGGTGGTGACATATCTGGTCGCGCTGGGACTGGATCCTAACATGGCCAGCCCTTCTCATTTTCCTCACGTACTGGGGTGGGTCTGCACTTACCTTCTGCCTAGCTTTGCTGCATCCCAGCCACTGGCTGACTTAATGGCTTCCTTCCACCAGCTCCAGCTCCTTGCCTTCTGCCTTGCCTTCCATAGCCAGCAAGTGCTGCCACATTATGTACCTAATAAATGCTTTGGGTGCAGTCTCACCTGACAGACATTCATTGAGCAGCTGCTGAACGCTGGGCTGTGGTGCACCGTAGCTGAATCCCTTAGAGCTTGTCCCTAGGAAGCCAGAGACCACCTCTAGTAGGGTTGCATGGAGGTAACTGGGACACACCAGGATCTTCTTCAGTCTGCGACCCCCCTGACCTTCCAGCTTCAACAAGCCTGCTGCCCTTCCTTCTCTCTGTTGATTCAGAAATGTGAATCACTCAATCCTCATAGTTTCTTTTTGTTTGTTTTATGTTTTGTTTTGTTTTTTTTTTTTTTTTTTTCTGAGACAGAGTCTCGCTCTATTGCCCAGGCTGGAATGCAATGGCCTGATCACAGCTCACTGCAACCTCCACCTCTTGGGTTCTGGCAATTCTCATGCTTCAGCCTCCCGAGTAGCTGGGATTATAGGCACATGCCACTTGTATTTGTGTGTGTGTGTGTGTGTGTGTGTGTGTGTGTTTAGTAGAGATGGGGTTTTGCCATGTTGGTCAGGCTGGTCTCGAACTCCTGACCTTAAGTGATCCACCTCGACCTCCCTAAGTGCTGAGATTATTAGGCTTGAGCCACCGTGCCTGGCCCCCTTGTTGAGTTTTCAATCGGTTTGTCATCCTGAACAGGGTTTCTCAACCTTGGCATTATTGACATCTTGGGTCGGATACTCTGTAGGGGAGACCGCACTCTGCATTGCAGGATGTTTAGTTGCATCCCTAGTCACTAAACATTAGCTGCTAGTAGCACTCCTGCTCCCATGATGACAACCAAAAAGATCTCCAGGTATTGCCAGATTTCCCTTGGGAGACAAAAATCACTCCCAGCAGAGAACCACTGTCGCAGAGTGAGGAGTGGGAACATCACAGGATGGTGGTTAGTGTGCCAGGGTTCGAGGCAGCAAGAGTTGTCTGCTGGGAACTAAGCTCTGAGACAGCTGGCAGCGAGGGAGAAAACTCCCAAACTTGAAACCGCCCAGTATGCCAGCACAACAATGGGCCATTTAGTGAGGGCAAAAAATCATGCATCCTCATGACATCTGAGGACATCACTTTTTTTTTTTTTTTTTTTTTTTTTTTTTTTTTTTGAGACGGAGTCTCGCTCTGTCACCCAGGCTGGAGTGCAGTGGCGCGATCTCCGCCTCCCAGGTTCCCGCCATTCTCCTGGCTCAGCCTCCCGAGTAGCTGGGACTACAGGTGCCCACAACCGTGCCCGGCTAATTTTTTGTATTTTTAGTAGAGATGGGGTTTCACTGTGTTAGCCAGGATGGTCTCGATCTCCTGACCTTGTGATCCACCCGCCTTGGCCTCCCAAAGTGCTGGGATTACAGGCGTGAGCTACCGCGCCCAGCCGACATCACTTTCCATCGTGTTGGAAATCAAGGAAAGGATCAATCATGTTGATCATACTCCATTTTCTAAGGCAGGGAGGTGTGTGGGCCCTTGTAGCATTAAAGATGTATTTGGAAAATAGATCAGTGGTTGCTTGGGGAAGGGGCCAGGGAGGGGTGGGAGGAAACTTTTGGGAATGATGGACATGTTCATTATCTTGATTGTGGTGATAGTTTCATGGGTGTGCCCATACGTCAAAATATATCAAGTTGTACACTTTAAATCCATGCAGTTTATAGTGTGTCAGTTATACCTTAGCAAAGCTGCTTTGAAGATGTGTTGTTTAAAGTTTTAGTGCTTGAAGGGCGTTATTTTGAAAATTCACTACTGTGGAGTAGTCCGTTTCTTGACTGTGCTGAATAAATAAGGAGTCACTATAGTACTTAAAAAGGAAACAGGAAGAAAAAAAAAAAGAAGAAAAGTGATCATGGGCTGTAAGGTCGTCCTAGGCAGGGAAGGAAAGGAATGGCGTGAAGAGTTGGCTCAGTCACCCCTGAGTGTGGCCCGGAGAGCCTGTCCTCTGGCCTACAGCAGGCCTCAGAGAGTCTTTCCGTTGACTGATGCCATCAAACCAACATGTCTGGAACGGTATTATCAGGGGCTTGGGAAAATAGAATAACAAATGTGCTGGCTGCCAGGAAAGGAACAGATGATTCTGGAAATTATAGGCTCCTCCACAAACTTTAATCCCTAAAACAAACATTGCTGGGGAAAAGTCGGTTAATACCTGGAGGAGGGTAAGTGCTGTCCTTCAGTAGGGCATGGCACACCTGGGAGCAGAGAGCATTTACAGAAGCCAGATGCCGTGTGCCAACCTGTGTGTTACAGGCTCATGCCCAAGGGGCTGCACCTGGCAGGAGGGAGCACTGCAAGCAGCAGTCAGGGGCCGTCTCTGACTGTGCAGATGCTTTTTGGCTGATGGAGACCTCTACGGAGGTTCTCAGGAGCCCCTCAGCGAGGCAGGGGAGCAAGGAGAGGGGCTGTGACAGGGATGAGTTATATGTGAAAAGAAAAACTGCTTTCGTGGCGGTTGATTTTGCACCAGGCATTTCATTCATTCATTCCTCAGATACTCATTGAGTGCCTACAGGGTTCAGGACCTCTTCTAGTGCTTCAGTTATAGCGAGGGAAGCAGGCAGTTCGCAGGTGAATAACCCAGTTTATGAGAGAAGTTCAGATCATCCTAAGAGCTCTGAAAGAAAACGATAAGGTAATGTGAGAGTGCCTGGGGGAGGGGGAGGGCTACTATCCCTGGGGTGGTCGGGGAAGACTTCTGGGAGAAGGTGATGTTTGAGCTGAGGCTGAAGAAAGAGGCAAAAGTGTAAAGATCTGGAGGAAGGGTGTACCAGGCAGAGGGAAGGGCAAGGACATGGGCCTGGGGGCATGAACTTATACACTCGGGGAGCAGACACTTTTTGGAGCATGATGGAGAGATGAGATGAGAGGTAGGTAATGGGCTGGATCACAGAGCACTTGCCAAGCTGGGTCCAGATGTTGAGTTTAGTTATCAGAGCTATGGGCTCTGGATTCTCAAAATTCTTTTGGAAATTTGACTGACTTACCCTTTAATAAAACTTATTTATTTATTTATTTAGAGATGGAGTCTTGCTCTGTTGCCCAGGCTGGAGTGCAGTGGCGCGATCTCGGCTCACTGCAACCTCCAGCTCCCTGATTTAAGCAATTCCCCTGCCTAAGCCTCCTGAGTAGCTGGGATTACAGGTGCACACCATCATGCCCAGCTAATTTTTTTGTGTTTTTAGTAGAGACAGGGTTTCACCATGTTGGCCAGACTGGTCTTGAACTCCTGACCTCAGTCAGTCCACCTGCCCCAGCCTCCCGAAGTGCTAGGATTACAGGCATGAGCCGCCACACCTGGCCGTTTTATTTTTATAGTTTTAAATTTAACTTAAAAGATAGGCTTTCGCTCTGTTGCCCAGACTGGCCTCAAGCAATCCTCCTGCCTTTGCCTCCAGAGGTGCTGGGATTACAGGTGTGAGCCACCGTGCCCAGCAAATTTACCCTTTTTAAAGGCTCTTCTGACTACCATGGGGAGTAGAAATACAGGGGGTTCGTGTGGGAACCCACCACAACCCATAGGTGACCCTCCCGATGTGAAATGTAGGGGACTGGCTTGGGAGAGTGCAGGGACTTTTTTTTTTTTTTATGAAACAGAGTCTCACTTTGTCACCCAGGCTGGAGTGCAGTTTCACAATCTCAGCTCACTGCAGCCTGTGCCTCAGCCTCCCTGAGTAGCTGGGATTACAGGCATGCGCCACCACGACCGGCTAATTTTTTGTATTTTTAGTAGAGACAGGATTTCATTTGTTATGTTGGCCAGGCTGGTCTGAAACTCCTGACCTCAAGTGAACCACCTGCCTCGGCCTCCCAAAGTGCTGGGATTATAGGTGTGAGTCACCACCTTGAGTGACTATAAGCGCCAGCCCTTGAATGACTTACAAACCAATAAGCAGGTGGTAGGCTTCTGCGCAGGCCTGGGAAGGCTGGACAGGAGGTGAACCACACATCTGACCT